ATGGAGCAAGTAAAGCTGAGTGACTGAGCATAAGGCTTCCTTGTAACAGTGGAATACCTCTAGAAAGGAGCTCTGGTAGCGTAGTAGTTAAGAGTCGGACTACTAACCTCCAGGTCAGCAGTTCGATACACACGAGAAAGATGAGGCTTTCTGCTCCTGTAAAGATTTACAGTCTCGGAAACCCTATACAGGGTCACTATGAGTCAGAACTGACCACATGGCAGACACACCACCACCTCTAGGCACTTAAGTGGGGGAAGTAGGTTTGCTAACCCCCAGAGCTAGAGCCTAGCGTCTTCAGGATATGGCTTGAGGGGGAGCGGTGTATTCCATGGGCATTTATCAGCAGCTGACTGGAATAACTGTGCCCTGAGCATTTTCAGATGCTCAATTGTGACCCATTAACTTCCCTAATAAACCGCCATAACTTTGAGTATTGTTTCTGAGTTCTGTGTGGTCATTTCAATGATCTATTAAACACATCTGAATAGACAGGGCTTAGGGAGGAATAGTTGGTACCATATTTTTTTGCAGTAGTGAACTTGAAACAACTTGGCTAGTCCTAAAACGAACATGAAAAGTATCACTCAATCAATCTTGGCAAACCCTGAGTTAACACTCTCTGCTTCTAAATGAAAAGCTGACAGTTCAAGTCTATCCAGAAGTATCTCAGAAGAAAGATCTTAAGATCCCCTTCTGAAAAGTCAGCCATCCAAAACTCTGCTGAGCACAGTTCTATTGGCATGCAAGGAGGGTTTTACTGTGAGTCAGAACTGACTCAACAGCACGGGGATATGAAATTGTCACAATGGTATCATAAAAAAAAAAAAAAAAAACCACGGTAATATGTTAGTACTATGAGCCAAACCTCACCCACACAAAAGTGAACTTGGGAGCAAGACACAGAAACCCAGAAACTGTCCATTCCACCTCCCGCAGAACACACCCGCTCATCTTGGTTCCTCCCCAACTCCTTTCCAAAAGCAGCATCACTGAATTGCCACTAATGCTGAGGATATTGCAACTCAAGGGAAATACAAGGACAAAAAGAAAAGGGGAGAAAAAAAAAAGCCATCATCGTAACCTCCTAGTAGTTCTGTACATGAGTCACAATAACATCTGCTCAAAGACCTAGAGGCTGTATCAACATCAACATGAACAATAGTGGGCAAACTTTTTCTATAAAAGGACAGAAAGAAAATAGTCAAGACTTTTTGGTCATTCAGTCTCTGTCACAACTAATCAACTGTGTCGTTGTTGCCAAAAAGCAGCCAGAGACAAAAAGTGAAGAAATAGATGTGTTTCAATAAAACTTTATTTAAAAAAATATATGGCAAGCTGTAGTTGGCCAACCCACGGACTTGAGGATAATGGGGTTGAGACTCATTTCCAAATTCCAAAAGGGAATAGTACTTAACTTGCTTTGTTATCAACATTATATAAACCACTGACCATTGTGGCTACCCGTTTATGAATTCCAATGGTAACAGCAGCATTAACAATAGTGTCAAAAGCAGAAACAATGAATATTACTTACTTTATTCCAGAGATTCAACGGTTCAGGTACATCATCTCATTTCATTCCCTAAAAGTTCCATGATATCCAAACGAAACCCAGTGCCATCGTGTCAATAGTGACCCTATATAGGGGTTTCCAAGCCCAAAGATCTTTACAGGGGCATCTGTCTCCCAGGGAGTGGCTGACTGATTTCAACAGCCAACCTTGTGGTTAGGAGTCCAGTGCTTATCCTCTGGTACCACCCAGTCTCCTTAACAACCTCTGAGGGCAACTAAGGCTTGGAATAAGCAAAAGTCTTTCCACTGTGGCAAAGCTCATATTGGAATCAAGAACGATCGCTGTTGTTGTTGTTGTTAAGTGCTGTTAAATCAGTTTTGATCCACAGTGAACCTGCGTAGGGTTTCTCAGGAATGGCTGGTAAGCCTGAACTACCAACCTTACGGTTCAAATCGCTTTTGCAGCATTAACCCACATCACCACAACAGGACTCGGGACTACCTATACAATTCCAAAATTCATACTCTTACACACTACACCTCCCAAGCAAAAATAGCATTATCGCCTAAGAGGAACTGAGATAAATCCATCCAATTAGAGGCATGTGATTACAATCTAGACCATTAAATAAAGCTTTCAGAAACAACCTGCTTCATCTTTGGTTAACTTTAAAACGTTCCCTCTAGCAAATAATAAGTCTTTCTCTTAGCAGTCTCACTCTTTCAGAAACATTTGTATTTAGGGGTGTGGTGTAGCACTGTAGGGGGTAAGCACTGAACTGCTAACCACAAGGTTGGTGGTTCAAACCCACCAGTCATTCTTCAGAAACCCTATACAGGGTTTGCTATGAGTCAGAACCAACTCCAGGGCATGTAACAACAACAAGCTTTGCATTGGGCTGTTAACCACTAGGTCAGCAGTTCGAGTCCACCAGCCACTCCGAGGAAAAAGATGAGGCTTTCGACTCCCTTAAAGATTTACAGCCTCACAAACCCAATGTTGTTGTTGTTACGTGCCATCGAGTCAGTTCTGACTCATAGCAACACTGTATAGGGTTTCCAAGGAGTGGCTGGTGAGTTTGAACCACCAAGCTTGAGACTAAGTGTTTATGCTAAGGTGCGGAACCAACAGGAAAACACACAACCACCACAACTGTACTTCAGCGCCTAGTCTTACAGCTGCTTTGCTATGGTTTTAAGGGGCTTGTCTGAAGTACCAAAGGTAACAGGCAACAACTCTTACTCTTTCCTGCCCTTTCTGTGTCTATTAGCCAAATGCTAAGGAGAGTCTCTGATGAACCCAGTGTTCTTTAGACTGCACTGCTTCAGTCTAAAGTCACCACTGGTACTGTGCAATTTTCAGGAAGAACTATTCCAAGCATGAGGATTGTTATGCAGTGACTTGATATCTGCCTTATAATTTTCGTCTTTTACTCTGATTTTCTCAATTACATCAAGCCAAGTGACTTCAAAGTTTCTTCCAAACCAGTTCACATCCTTCAGACTTAAAAAAGCAAACTGATTCATAGTGATCCTCTACAACAGAGTAAAACTGCCAGATCTTCCTTGTGGTGAGTGGCCAGTGGGGTTGAACCACTGACTTTTCACTTAGCAGCTGAGTGCTTAACTGCTGCACCACCAGCGCTCCTTTATTCTTCTGAGGGATTCACTAAATGACAACAGCTTTATTGGAACACAGCCAGTTTCTCAAGGATTCTCTATGGCAGCTTTCATATTACATTGACAAAGCTGAGACTATATGGCCTCCAAAGCTAAGATATTTACCATCTGACCCTTAACAAAAACAAGTGTGTCAGCCACAGAACTAGAACTATGCGCCTGTTAAGTATTACAGGCAATGCCTAAATTCAGACACAATCCACGCCAGAAATTCAAAAAGGAGTTTCCTTCAATCCAGAGTAAAAGACAGCATCATCCCAAACAAAGGTGTCACTTATATACATGGGGGTTCCAAAAAATTTTGAGGGAAAATGGCACTGAAAGATAATGGAATTTTTCTACCAACTTTTTTGAAACCCCCTGTACATGCTTAACTAAGTACTGGGAAAGGTTTAAGGCCTTTCAATCCTTCACTGCCATGTGCAATTGGAGATGCAGAGGGGATATAATTTCCAATTTCCTGACTAACAGCATTCTTAGTCTAAATTGATGAACTGTAAATAGCAGGCCACTTTATGCCTCCTCCTAACTGATATCGGAGCCACAAAGTACAAAACAATAAATTTTCTTTGGGTTTCTTGGCAAGAGGCTATATCATATGTAATTCTGGCCTTCATCTCCCAATTTCCTTCATTTATCAGACATAGTGACAAAAAGCTCTAATTAGATAATTCTAATGAGAAGGAACTGGTTGTGATAGAAGACTTCAGAGTCACTATCTGTTCTTTGCAAAACAAAACAGATAGGCTATTCTTCCTGTAGGGGCAGGAGATTTATCAATAGACAAAAGAATGCAAAAAGCCAATAGATAAGGTGTAATTAAAGATCGGGCCTATAAATTTTACACTGACATAAATTCAACAGATTTGCAGGTGAAAATTCAGGATTTAAAACCAGAGCATCATTATGAAAATGATATCTTTCGCTTCTATATGCAACAACATTGCCTAATACATAGATTTATTATTAAGACTAATACTCTATGCCTCCAAGCTGATTCATACAAAGAATGCGAATTATTCAATGCCAAAGCAATTTCCAAAGTGGTCTATCTTCCTGAAGCACTCCTCTTTCATTAGCTATAAAACATGTTTCCATATACTTTTGAACATCAAAAGCTCTTTTAGAAATACCAATCCATCTATTATATTTTTTGGTGGAAGTTGGTAGATGTATAATCCAGAAATTGTATATTCTTGTGTGCCTTTATTTTTTGGCACTTAAAATATAAGAAAAGTATTTCCCATGTAATATTCCATACAACAGTCACAAAGTTTGTTCTATTCAATGATTCAAAGGCTAAAACTAAAATAAAAATGAGAAGAACCGGACAATACCATAGAATAGATGGCTGAAAAATATTCAGTTAACAGGCTGATTTGAAAATAAAGTTGCATTTCTTGGGTATGAGCATAACAGACCATTTGGCCATCTGATACTCTGTCATGTTTAGCATTCATTTAGCAGCTCAAGGCTAGCCATATTATACATACTCACAAAAGCTCAAAAGAGAGAACAGAAAAGGCTGTGTCTTTTAGAAAATTACAACTTTAGAACAATAACTCATTAGCAAGTAAAGTTCAGAAATAAATGCAAATGGAGGTGGGGAGAGAAACAGGTTGAGAAAACAGCTGGGAAACATAAATTAAAGTACTTATAACCTTGAGGAAAAAACATGGTTGACTACTTCAACTGTTAGTGAACTACAAAATGTTTGATCATCGAGTAGAACTCAGGCGTGAAAGTGATTACAAAATGAGATGTTAACTAGTCTGTGAGAGCCAGATCAGAACAATTCAACTCACCAGAGTAGGCCCAGTACGGGTCGCCAGAAGCCTTGCGCCTGCGGATCTGCACTGAGCTGCCGTGTCTGTTCTCGTGCAGGGTCCCAACATAGCCTTCTGTTAACGCTGCAATAGAGAGAGAGACCCGTAATAAGACAGAGTCAGCACTCCGATGAGACACAGCAAGGGTGTACATGGTTGGAACTAAGAGTCCATCCATAAACACTTTAGAAGAAGATCTGGTGATCTATTTTTTAAAAAAAACCAGCCACCGAATATCCTATGGAACACAGTTCTGCTCTGACACGTATAAGCCACCATGAGTTGTATTTGACTCAGGCAACTGGTTTGGGTGACATCACAAAAACACACACCTTGGGGATGACTGAATATAAACATCGTAAGTTCTGGTGTGGCGCTGTAGGATAAGCACGTTATTGCCAACCTTAAATGTCACTTACAGGTGGTTTGAACCCAATAGCACATCCTTGGAAACCCTGTATAGGGTCACTGTGAGTTGGAACCGACTCACAGCACTTAACAACAACAACATTTTACAAAAGAATCAGCTCCAGGAAAATCTAGAGAGATTGTTACAATTACTATTAATATTTTTTTGAAAAAAGCTAACAATGAATCTTTGTGCCAAGAAGCTGGTGCGCTAAGAGCTTTACATATATTATCTTCTTTGACCTGCCAAAACATCACCAAGCAGTAGATACAATTATCAGGAACATTCTGTAGCTAAGCAAACAGAAATTTAAAAAGGATAAGACACTTGCCCAAGGTCACAGAATTAGTAGATATGGAACCTGCTTTTTGAGTCCTATGTACCAGTATGAGCCTATGTCCAGATGTCCAGTGTGCAAAGGCCCTCTATAGGCTCATTTATTTTCATGGAGCAGGAACTGAGGCTTGGGGATGCTGTCCCATGAAATACTTCATGCTTACACAGCCCCGAGTCACACAGGTAAGCATACAGCAGATGAGAGAACATTCCAGGGTCAAAATAGGTCCTTTGCTACCAAGAAGTGATCATGGCCTTGAAACACCATCTATGGCCTTGGAGATGTGTTCACTAAGAAAAATAGTTATCCAAATCCTTCAGAACACATGTAGTCTACCTGTTGCATCTGAGGTTCTGAAATAAGAACTTCTCCAAAGTAAACTATAATTCACAAAATAAACATTGCTTAATAATATATTATTATTATTATAAGGAGTTCTGGTAGCATAGTGGTTATGAATTGGGCTGTGAACCTCAAGGTCAAGCAGTTCGAAACTACCAGCGGTTCCACGGGAGAAAGATGAGGCGTTCTGCTCCCGTAAAGATTTACAGCCTCGGAAACCCTGTGCAGGGTTGCTATGAGTCGGAACCAACTCCACAACAACCACAATAATATATTAAAACAAAACAAAAAAGAACAACTCAAACTGAGTCCAATCAGGCAAATAGAAGGAAAAATATTCTTTACTATTACTGAGAACTTCCATCTGCCTGTTCCAGGGTTCAAAGCTCTATCCTACCAGAGACTCTATGTATACAAATGTATTCTGTGGTGAGCCCACCCAGAATTTACTAATTGTAAGAAGAAGACAAATATCACAGGTGCCCAGAATTCAAAGTGAAATAGAATCACACTTTGAACAATACATCCCCAGCTGACTGTGTTAATATTTAAATGTACCCAAACAGAATCAAGTTGTTTTTTGCAAGCAAGGAAAATGGTTGGGGAAGTGTGTATTCAATTTAAGATGAAGGTGGCGCCATGAAAACATATTACCAAATTAACATTCCCATTCCAAGTCAGTCAATGATGGGATTTGATAATGATGGTAATAATAACACAACCGCCATGATGCCCATTAGCTTCGTCAACAATGTAACACCCATGAAAAATTATAAAACGTGAACTACTTTACGCCTCTATGTCTGTTGCTAAGATGGGCTTTAAAGGAAGTAATGCTTTGCAGAAAGAATAAAGATGTTCCACAGAGATGAGCCATTTAGAGGGAAATGTGATGATGATATCATCCAAATGTTGTTTTGTAGTGTACCATCAAGTTAATTTCGACTCATAGTGAAACTTCAGGACAGAGTGGCATTGGCAATTTGCTCCTTAAGGTGGCAGCCTTGAAAAATCTAAAGGGCACAATTCTATTCTACACACATGGAGTAACCATGAGTTGGAATCAACTTGATGGCAAGTACTTTGGGTTTGGCTTCCGTCTCTTAAACTAGTTTTCTTCCACCAAACTGCACTGAATAATAAATAGGACACTCACAGCTTGTCTATGCATAGAGCAAAGTTTTGTTTTTTGCCTTTGTTTTTTCAAGCTTTTCTTGTGAATTGAGTGATAGTTTACATGGGAGAACATCAGTTTTATACTCATTCTACCCTATTTCATTTCATTGCAATGATTATAGTCCCTCCATACATCATCATTCAACAGTATTTGCTTACATTCCCTCTGTTTTATTTTGTTTTGATGTACACAAACACTCTCAGGAATATAGACTCATTTAAACAACCAAAGGGTACATTCTGCAAGCCTGCTTCCTGGCCTCCAGCACATAGCCGTTCTGTTTCCCTGAGTTTAGAGTTCTCAGCTGCTCACTCTCTCCACGTCATCATCTCTGCCTCCATCTCTGTGTTGATGGTTCTCTGGATAAGGTCCCATATTCCGCTCAGGCTCTTCTCCTTTCATGGTCCTAGGGTCCTCTGTTCCTGGAAGGTTGAATTAATTACTACCCCTGCAAAGTGGTTACAAATCGGGCTGCGAACTGTCAGCAGTTCGAATCCACCAGCTGTTCCTTAGGAGAAAGATGAGGCTTTCTGCTCCCGTAAAGATTTACAGCCTCGGAAACCCTGTACAGGGTCCCTGTGAGTTGGTTCCAACTCCACGGCACATAACCACCACCACCACCACCTGTTTATGTTACAAAACTTCTAGAAAGGTTTGATTTTAGTTTGCTATTAATGTATCTGTTTACTGTGCTTTTCTTACCGTTATTGTTAAGTGCTGTTAAGTCGCTTCCGACACAGTGACCTTGTGTAAGGTTTCCTAGGAGCCACTGGTGAGTGTGAACCACCAACCTTGTGGGTAAAACCAACCTTATGGTCGAGTGCTTGTCCTGTGGCTTTATACCAGAACTCTTAGAGTTAGTTCAATCTAAATAATTTCAAAATACTCCTTTTTTGTATCATTAACAATTTACTGAACATAGAGTAGTAAATGCAGCTTTCCTTCATCTAAGGATTTGAGCTTTAGTTTCCTTGTTTGAAAAACTGAGATAAAACACCAACCTTATAAGATTATAATGAAACCAACACAAGTACAGAACTTAGGTCAGCACTGGATTCTAAAGGTCACCACGGTGTTACAACATGGCCTCGATAAACTAGTAAGAGTGGTTTCCCTTGGCACTGTGTCCTTGTGAAGAATTCATCTTAGTTCAGGAAACCAGATATCAAAGATCATTCCAGAGCTGTTTCAGAATAAATCAGTAATAATTTAATTGAATGAAAGATCTGCTTGACACAAATTGTTTATCAGTTCTGGCTCCTTTGCAATGTTGGTTAGAGTGGGTACAGAAATCTTTACATTGTTGTTGTTGTGAAGTGCCATCAAGCCGTTCCTGACCCACAGCGACCCTGTATAGGATTGCCAAAGAGCGAATGGTGAGCATGCACCACCGACCTATCGAGTCAAAATGACTTGATAGTTTAATCATATTTAGAACATTTTGACTATCTAGTAACTCTGGTGGACTCCTGGTGTGGTGTTGTAGGATAACCACTGTAACGTAAGGTCGGTTTGAAAGGCAAAGTTGGCACTTCAAACTTAACAGCCACTCCTTGGAAACCCTATACAGGGTCTACATGAATTAGAACCAACTCGACAGCACTTAATTATAACAGCAGTAGCTCTGAAAAAGCAGGTTACAAGTTGGGCTGCTAACCCCAAGGCCAGCAGTTTGCACCTACCAGCCACTCCATGGGAGAAAGATAGGGTTCTCTATTCTGGGTCACTATGAGTTTGAACCAACTTGATGACATGCAGAAGCAAGCAGCAGCAGCAAGAGAATTTTTCATGTCTTGTATAAAGAAGAATGTGGCATCAGGATTGGAGGAAGAGCCTCCTTAACAATCTGAGATACACAGATAACACAACCTTGCTTGCTGGAAACAAGGAGAACTGGAATTACTTACTAACGAAGATCAAAGAATACACCTTCAATGCAAATTGCACCTCACTGTAAAGAAAACAAAATTTGTCACAATTGGACCAATCAATAACATGATATGTTGAGAAAAGATTGAGGCTGTCAAAAGGCTTCATTTTACTTGGATCTACTGTCAACACTCAAAGAAGCAGCAGATAAGAAATCAAAAGACCTATTTCATTAGGCAAACCTGCCGCACAAAACCTCTTTAAAATGTTCAACAGCAAAGATGTCAGTTTGAGAACTAAGGTGTACCTGACTGAAGCCATGGTATTTCAATTGTCTCATAGGCTTGTGGAAGTTGCACAATGAATGAGGAAGACCATAAAAGAATTGATGCATTTGAGTTATGGTGTTAGAGGAGAATAGTAAAAGTATCATGGACTGCCAGAAGAACAAATAAATTTTTGTTACAAGTAGTCAGAATGGGCCTTAGAAGTCAGCATGACGAGGAAGATTGTAGCAGAACTGATGCATTTGAATTATGGTGTTGGGAGAAGAATATTGAAAGTACCATAGAATGCCAAAACAAAAAACAAATCTATCTTGAAAGAAGTGGAACCAGAATGTTCTTTAGTAGAGACGATGACTGGACGTTATCTCTTGTAATTTAGGCATGTTGTAAATGTAGGGACCAGTCCCTGGAGAACGAAATCAGCAGGAAAAAAAAAGACACCCCCCTCCCCCCAATGAGATGAAGTGACACAGTGACAGCAACAATGGGCTCAAATATAAAAATAATTCTGAGGATGGTACAGGTCTGCCCAGTGTTTTGATCTGTTGTGTACAGGGTTTCTATGAGTTGATACAGACTCAACAGCACCTAACAACAGTCAAAAAATGCTATACTGATTTTTAAATCTTCTATTAAATAAACGTGGATCAATTTATCTTATTG